GGGAACGCAAAGGTATTGCGAGGTAACGCAAAGGTATTGCGAGGTAACGCAAAGGTATTGCGAGGGAACGCAAAAGTATTGCGAGGGAACACAAAAGTATTGCGAGGGAACGCAAAGGTATTGCGAGGGAACGCAAAGGTATTGCGAGGGTACGCAAAAGTATTGCGAGGGAACGCAAAGGTATTGCGAGGTAACGCAAAGGTATTGCGAAGTAACGCAAAGGTATTGCGAGGGAACGCAAAGGTATTGCGAGGTAACGCAAAGGTATTGCGAGGTAACGCAAAAGAATTGTGAGGAAACACAAAGGTATTGCGAGGGAATGCAAAAGTATTGCAAGGGAATACATAGGTATTGCGAGGGAAAGCAAAAGAAAAACGTCACCCCCTTGTCCCCTAGCAGGCAACTCAAAACTATTGCGAGGTAACGCAAAAGTATTGAGAGGTAACGCAAAGGTATTGCGAGGCAACGCAAAAGTATTGCAAGGGAACACAAAGGTATTGCGAGGGAACACAAAGGTATTGCGAGGTAATGCAAAGGTATTGCGAGGGAACGCAAAAGAAAAACGTCCCCCCATGTACCCTCGCTGGCAACTCAAAAGTATTGCGAGGTAACACAAAAGTATTGAGCGGTAACGCAAAAGTATTGCGAGGTAACGCAAAGGTATTGCGAGGTAACGCAAAGGTATTGCGAGGTAACGCAAAAGAATTGCGAGGGAACACAAAGGTATTGTGAGGGAAAGCAAAAGAAAAACGTCACACCATGTCCCCTAGCAGGCAACTCAAAACTATTGCGAGGTAACGCAAAAGTATTGCGAGATAACGCAAAGATATTGTGAGGCAACTCAAAAGTATTGCGAGGTAACACAAAGGTATTGCGAGGTAACGCAAAAGTGTTGCGTGGTAACACAAAGGTATTGCGAGGTAACACAAAGGTATTGCGAGGTAACGCAAAGGTATTGCGAGGGAACGCAAAAGAAAAAAGACCCCACATGTCCCCTCGTGGGCTCCGTACATGGTCCATTAACGGATATGTGGCAGATGAAATACTAACTACAATGTTTTGTATTTTAAGGATGTTTGAAAAAGTTGTTCACGACAACTAATTATCATTTACTGTTTCTTAACGTTCATTAAAAACCTGTAGATATGAACTGAAATGATGGGATTTTTGGAGGAAAGCAAAACAAAACAAAACAAAAAACAAATTGTGTTTGATTACTAATTTAGCACTTTGAGCATAAATTCTCTCCTTTTCGCCTCTAATACCTTCATTTTCCTCTCATTCAGAATAATTTATAAAAGGCAAATCATCTTTCTGTCATTGATATGTACATAAAATATTTTTATATTCTAATATATTCACTGGAAATCATCAATCTGGCACTTCGCCGCCTCTACAGCAACTTCTTAACGTGAGACATCCTGAGATTTAAGACTTTCTTTTAAATAAGCAACACAAAAAGTAAAATATATAAAGAGATTTATATCAACAATCAACTTCTTACCTTTTACCATAGCAAAATAAATTCTGTTTCTGTTATTAAAATGCCTTCATAAGTGAGGGTTCATGTTTTAGTTTGAGATTTTTGTCCTCTTTTTTATCAAAGAAGGGTTGGAGAACCATAAAACCCATAAAAATRTTGGGTTTTTGTGCCACTGTCACAACTGTTCTTGGCACAGAGGCAGAGCTGGTCCAGAACTTTGATTGGTCCACTCCTCAGCTCCTTCTTCTTCAGAACTCCACTTTATGATGAAACTGGCCTCAGTGCCCCGTGTCTGTCTGTGTTCGGATGCCTTCTTACATTGAAGGGCTTTAATCGGATCTTTGACTGTAGAAATGTAGCAGTGGACCTTCTGTMGCTCCTGGTTGAAGAAGCTGAAACAGCCGTAGCTTTTAGAGTTCATGCTCTCTGGTTTAGAAGTCTATCTGAGGGCYGTTTTCACGTCTATCCGAGAGCGCACGTCCTGGTAGGCCAGGAGGCAGGGGTCGGTGGACAGGGCATCGTGGGTAAAAACTGAGTCGTTGTCAGAAGAGCAGGAGCTGGATGTGTCCTCGCAGGAGGGAGAGTACTGCTCGAAAGGTGTCGACAGGTCCAAGTACTGGGAGGAGAAAAKATTACAGAAATACTTGTGAGAAAATGAGTTGAAATATGACAGAAGAACAATCTTTTCTCCAAGCTACTATGTTTTATTATCTTATCTTAAATTATTATATTATATCACGCTTTTCTTATGGCGTGCTGCCATAAAACATAAAGACTTTTTGATGAGAATTTAGAAGTGTCGCATTAAAAATGCGAAAAAAGTCAGATAGAAAGAGCAAAATTTGAAAAAAAAAATCCTCAATTCGCTAAAAAGTTTTTACATTCGCTTAAGGTGGTTTTTGGATGATTCGCAAAGTAGTTAATGCGCAAAATGGGAGATGGAAACATGTTTGCCGAATAAATTCTGACGTAGCGCTTATTTACCTCACGTGACGTTCAGCTTTTTCCACTTTCCTGCCTCGTCCCGGCGTAGTTGCAYGTGTCTTTCTGCTGCGTAGTTTAACATTACKTTTATTTCCCTACGTCTCCTGGCAGCGTTAAACATAGCCTGTACTAGCTGAATAGATAAAATATTTACAACTTGCCCAATAGCAAAGCATTCACGAAAAAATCGCTCCATTGTCCCAAGATGATTAGCCTCTGCTAGTTAGCAAGTTTCACTTCCTGTTTACTACTGCAAAGCTTGTCGCCGACGTCTGACATAATCACGCGTTGCGTATCCTCGTCTGACGTAATCACGCGTTGCGTAGCCTCGTCTGACGTAATCACGCGTTGCGTATCCTCGTCTGACGTAATCACGCGTTGTGTAGCCTCGTTTATTCGCATCAAACAGTCGAGAGGGAAATTAGACGGAAACAGTCTAAATTCGAATTTTTATTTATTTAATTTTTTGCRAATTTTGAAAAGTTCGATAAAAATTCACTCTCCAACTGGATGGAAACACGATTACAATGTCACTAGTGATGGTCATTTTAAAGATTCTWGTTTTAATGCTTAAAGCTTGCACTAAGGATGAAATGTCGATTTATTTGTCAACAAAAGCACAAAAAAACCAGACTCATCCATTCGAACAGTTTGCATATTGATGACATCTGAGGCTCAGACTGAGTGAAAATGTCTGTGGGAGAGTTTGAAGCCCACCTCATCAGAGATGGACAGCAGAGATTTGTCCAGCTCCTCCACCAGCTGCTTGAACGTTGGTCTCTGGGTAGGAACAGCATGCCAGCATTCACGCATCATCATGTAGCTGCAGAGAAATGAAGATATCATCAGCATACACTGACACTTGGTTTAATGAAGACCAATGTTAAACTAATGAACAAAAGCATTTTTTCCACAGCCTTGAATGCCAAAACATTTGAGAAAGATGTCATGTGATTTGTTAGTACTCAAACTGTGTGTTGGGAATGCCTCAGCTACTACCACACCAAATTTTTACTCAGTATCTGAAAAATCAACTGAGCTATAGCTAATTTTGTGTTTTAACCCATTTTTTACTGACCAAAAAAACAATAAAACTGATGCATTGACTGACAAGGCAGTGACAGAGGTGGATTGTCCCATTTTAGCTCACATGAACATATGTTTTGCTAACAGAACTCCTGCTTACAGCTCATGTGTGCAGTTGGAGGGCTTGTCCATGCGATGACCCTCCTTCAGCAGCTTGAAAAGCTCCTCAACAGGAATACCAGGGTACGGCGAACCTCCCAACGTGAAAATCTCCCACATCAGGACACCAAACGACCACCTGGACGGAGACAGAAGAAAATACAAAACAGGATGAAATAAATCTGCAAAATGATTAAAGAATGAGGACACAACAAGACTTAGATGTTGGTCTTACACGTCACTTTGGTGTGTGTAAACTCTGTCAAACAAAGCTTCTGGGGCCATCCACTTCACCGGCAGTCGTCCCTGCAGAGAGGACAGAAAAAAATATGTTGGAGCCACTAGCTGTGTTTCCATTGCAAATGTGCGCAAAACTTTGTCGATATTCTGTTAATGTAAGAAAAAAACACAGTTTCACAGCTGCAGTGTTTCCATTAAGTAATAAATGTTCTTAAAGTCACGTGAATACGTTTGTTC